CAGCACTGACACGGCCGGCTCATGATCCAAAAATGGCTTTGGGCGGCCCGCTAAATCTGATTGAAATCTCTTACCAATGGAAAAAAATGAAACACAATAAATGAAATTTCAAGGGATGCCCCCCCTCTGAAATTTCATTTATAAAAGGGTGGTGATCTATTTAATCAACATTTCATTATTGTGGGGAATATCGTGGGAAAATCCCCGACGCGCATTCTAACCCTATTTATTTAGTCCTGAAACACCTTAAAAAAACCGGGATGGCATTCCAATTCTAACCCTGTGTATTTAGTCCTGAAACCTCTAAAACTCCAAAATGTTTGACGCATTTTCGACTGTCCCGTGTCTTCCATGTAAATGGTACTGCATGTAAATTGCAAAAAAAAACATGAACAATAAACAATGTCATACTATGCAGAAAAAATGCAATATCGTGTTATAAAGTAGAATATGCAGGTATTCGTCCATACAACATGCTCATGATCAGCAAAAAAGTAAATGACCACTAACATTGACAGAATATGCAGAAAAAATGCAATATCGTCATCCGCCGACCCAAGAACATCTCGTTTACTCACATCTAATACGTGTGTACAATACATGTACACATATGTAATATATACAGCGCATATATATGTGTGTACAATGCCGTTTTCGGAGGTTACCATCCTGTTTATCAACGTTTCATTATCGTGGGGGATATCGTGGGAAAATCCCCGACGCGCATTCTAACCCTATTAATTTAGTCCTGAAACAGCTAAAACATCCTAAAACTACAAAATTCTTGACGCATTTTCGACCGTCCTGTGTCTTCCATGTACTGCAAACATGCAGAATATGCATGTAAATTGCAAACAAATCTTTCCATGAACAATAAACAATGTCATGATATGCAGAAAAATGCAACATCACATTGTTAATTTAAATATGCAGAATATACAGGTATTTGCAAAAAAAACATGCTCATGATCAGCAAAAGAAAAATCGTGATCAAAAAAAAATGACAGAATATAAAAAAATGCACTATCGTCTGTGTATATTGCCGTTTTTGGAGGTTACCATCCTGTTTAACCTACATGTCATTATCGTGGGGAATACCGGGGGAAAATCCCCGACGGGCATTCTAACCCTATTTATTTAGTCCTGAAACCCCTAAAACATCCTAAAACTACAAAATTCTTGACGCATTTTCGACCGTCCTGTGTCTTCCATGTACTGCAAACATGCAGAAAATGCATGTAAATTGCAAACAAATCTTTCCATGAACAATAAACAATGTCATGATATGCAGAAAAATGCAACATCGCATTGTTAATTTTGAATATGCAGAATATACAGGTATTTGCCAAAAAAAACATGCTCTATAAGAAAAAATGCAATATTGTCTGTGTAATTGCCGTTTTTGGAGGTTACCATCCTGTTTAACCTACATGTCATTATCGTGGGGAATACCGTGGGAAAATCCCCGACGGGCATTCTAACCCTATTTATTTAGTCCTGAAACCCCTAAAACTCCAAAATTATTGACGCATTTTCGACCGTCCCGTGTCTTCCATGTACTGCAAACATGCAGAATACGCATGTAAATTGCAAACAAATCTTTCCATGAACAATAAACAATATCATGATATGGAGGAAAAAATGCAACATCGTATTGTTAAGTTTAAATATGCAGAATATACAGGTATTTGCAAAAAAAAACATGCTCATGATCAGCAAAAGAAAAACCGTGATCAAAAAAAATGACAGAATATAAAAAAATGCAATATCGTCTGTGTATATTGCCGTTTTTGGAGGTTACCATCCTGTTTAACCTACATGTCATTATCGTGGGGAATACCGTGGGAAAATCCCCGATGGGCATTCTAACCCTACTTATTTAGTCCTGAAACCCCTAAAACTCCAAAGTGTTTGACGAATTTTCGACCGTCCCGTGTCTTCCATGTACTGCAAATTTGCAGAATATGCATGTAAATTGCAAACAAATCTTTCCATGAACAATAAACAATGTCATGATATGCAGAAAAATGCAACATCGTATTGTATATAAATATATAAATATGCAGAATATACGGTGATTTGCCAAAAACATGCTCATGATCAGCAAAAAAAAACAATAAAACATGACAGCAGCAAAAAATGCAATAGCGTCATCCACCGATCCAAGAACACGTCGTTTACTCACATCTAGATTTCATTTATCTATTTAAAAATCTATATAGAATTCAGAAGTTTTGGGGGCATATGCTGCGCAGGCATTCTAACCCTACAAGACAAAGTTTGGTGGCCCCGGCAAACCAAGCTTTTGGTCGGTTTTGGACTACTGTTTTTTTTTATTGGTTTTGATGAGTTTTTACAGGTTTTCGGCGGTTTTTCGACGGGTTGTGGCGAAGCTGCTTCATCAAAAATCTGGTAAAACCTGTTTTTTTCTCAGAAACTAGCTCAAAACCAGGTTTTGATACCTCGACCCGCTTTTTTCAGGGATTTGGTTGATGTAGGATATAAATAAATAAGTAAACAAATAAATAGATAATCCCTTCCTCCTAATACTAAACCCGCCCCTTAATAATAAACACGTCAGGTAGTTTTTAGTATTAGGGTGGTATTTATTATTAGGGAACCCTATTAATAAAATTAAAACCTTAATAATAAAAACTATTTTTTCCGATTCCAAAATCAATCAAATTTCTTTATATAACGCAATTAAAATATTGCCAAAAATTGGATTTCGAAGCTTCCCCCTAATATTCAAGTAAAACCCTGAATAATAAAAACTATTTTTTCCGGTTTCAAAATCAATTAAATTTCCTTATATAACGCAATTAAAATATTGCCAAAAATTGGATTTCGAAGGTTCCCCCTAATATTAAATTAAAACCCTTAATAATAAAAACTAAAAAAATCTGACGGACCCTAATAATAAACACCCCGGGGTGAACTAGTTTTTGTATTGGGGGGCAAAATCCACAAATGGTAGCTTTATTTTGAAATTGTTTTCTAAAGGGGACCCATTAAAAATCAAATTGGCCAATCTGAATTTTTCTGAAATTGGAGATGGATGCTTGTTTTTAGTATTTGGGGGATGTTTAGTAATAGGAGGAAGGGATTATATATATAATATACATATATTTCAAATCTATATAAAATTCAGAGGTTTTGGAGGCCTATGCTGCGCAGGCATTCTAACCCTACAAAAAGATAAAGGTTTGGTGCCCCGGCACAACAGGTAGACAAGTTTGATCAAACAACTTTTGAACATTTTTATCCACATTTACCAGCATAATACGGACTGAAAGGTAGAATTTTAGTAGAATTTCTACGTCCATTTGGGTACGTCATTCTAACTTTCAAAGGAAAAATTTTGGTGGAAAACACGACATTCTAACTTCCAGTCCGTCGGTATAGAGGTTTATGACATTTGGCACACCCCTAAAAATGGGATTATGTAAAATCGCTTCCTTCTATGTTTGGTATACCAGTGGGAATGAAGGTCCCATCTGCGGGGGGGGGGCCTATTCAATTCCGTGGATTTATGGGAAAGGTGATGGTGGTTCTTTTGGTGGTTTTAACCTATCCCAAAAAGATCCTCTCAGCCAATCATCCCTTTTGCATGGTTGCAAAAAAATGGGAAACACACACATACTTGAAACCACCAGCCAATGGTTGCTTTTCTGTTTACTGGCGGCTATCATCCAAAAAACAACAAACCATGGAAGTCGAATGACTGAAACCATAAACATCATCCAGCTGCCAAAGACGTCAAATCACTGATCATCTCACTCCAGCCATTCACCGGAAACCCGGTTTACCCACAGTTCACCCGTTAGAAAAAAAATGGAAACCCTCGCTGCAAACGAAAGTTAAACAACCCCAAACAATCTCAATGACTTGATATGGTACCCCCAAATAATTCAAGAATTGAATTCTCATAATGGAATTTTCATTAAGTCATTGAGATATGATAAAATAAAATCCCAGTAATTGAATTTCAGGGTTTGTCTGAGAATATGGTGCACCAAAATCCCCTGGTTAATTCTTGTTTTTCCCATGAACAAGGCTGGTGGCTGGTTTGAAATTCAACACTTTTGGACCCACATATCAATTTATCGGTTGTGCAATTTATCCAACTCTATATATGTATATTCTATATTCAACTAACTACAATCCAATTATATTATAAAGTGTGCTATAATACCTGGAGATCAATACTGATGAAGTCTGAGAATTCACCGGCCTGAAAAAGGCAGGCTTCTTCTTCTTCATGATTGCCCCTTCTAGCAATCATTACATCAAATAGATACAACCCAGTTCCAAAGTTATTTAGAAGTCAACAACTCACACTATAAACGGACATACATAGTTCTTCAACCCACCATTCTGGCACTGAAAAGCCTACCATTGACATTCATAAGATGATCTTCCCAGTTAGATAAGTGTTTAAAACATCTTAAAACCAGTATTGAAAATGACAAGGGTTAGCACTAGTTACGAATCATATTTATTTATCTAAAATCAATTCATTATTCATATCCCAGTTATCTCAGTCAGGTGTTAGAGATACAAATGGAGATCATTCACCGCAGTTTTCCCCATCAAATAACCAAAAAAAAACAAGTATATCCTATTAAAACCCGTTAAGTCACCAGTAATTCCCATTAAGCATCATTAAATCACTACAAAATCACATTAACCGTAACCCTCAGCAATTCCCATTAACATTCCCTAAATCACTATCAAATACCATTTTGTCACTATAACATCCCAATTCTACCACCATAAAAATCCACTAAAACACATCTAAATCACTATAAAAATGCCATAAAACCTACTAAATCTTACTCAACCACTCAGAAAATTCAACTAAATCCCACTAACTCACTATAAAATCACATTGAACCTCAGTAATTCCCATGAACATTCCATTAAATGACTATAAAACCACCATTGTTTCCCAACCGTCACCCCCCAAAAAAGAACGCCACGTTGAAGTCGTCCAAGTCTCTCGGTGCACAGCTTCTGCGAGGCCTTCTCTACGGCCGCCACGCGCTGGGACCATTGCTCCGCTTCCACCAGGGCGTCGGACCTGAAGCGACGCGGATTTCGGATGATTTGATGGAGTTTTATGGTGATTCAGTGGGATTTTATGGTGATTTTGTAGTGATTCATGCGGTTTTATAGTGATTTAATGGTGTGTAATGGTATTTCATGGGATTTTCTGGGGGTTTAATGGTGAGTAATGGTATTTCATGGGATTTAGCCAACAACAATAGTATTAGATGGGATTTAGACAACAATAATGGTTATTTAATGGGTTTCAATGGGTTAATAATTTGTTTCTAACTAGGTTCACTATGATTTATGGTAGATATATCTACACTTATCATAGGATCATACGGATGCCTCTTCAAGAGGCGTCGCTTCAAACAATTTGGAGCTGGAAAATGCTAAAGGAATCCCAGGGGAACCCGACAAGAAGCTGAAGAAATCCAAACAAAAACTACAAAATGCATCAAAATGCTAGAAAAATCCAATCCTATTCTGCGTGATATTTGGTTCTTTTTGGAGATCTCACCACTGGCACTCCATACAATCAATTCAAAATCTACAAAAGAAACAGGGAATGCTGAAAGAAAATTAGAATTCAGAGAACATATTAATATTAAAGCTCGAAAACTTGAAAACCAAAATAAAATCTGAAAAAACTGAAAGAAACTAGAAAAAACTAAAAAAAACTGAAAAGTATTAACAAAAACTTAAACAAACTAGAAAAAATAAAAAATGCTAGGAAAAAAAACTATAAAACGAAAAAATGCAAAAACAAATTCCACTTTTGGGCCGCCGAAGGGGCACTCCCTCCAAGAGTTTTTCCTTAACATGCTCGAATGTTATCGTCTAGTTTTTTTTTGTTTTCTTTAGTTTTTTTAGCTCCCAGCACCCTCGTCCAGTGAGTTGAAAAAGGCAGGTCTTGAAGAGACATGTGACGTGTAAGTAAGAACTTCGCGGGATTGAATAACCAATTTTTACAAAATACGACACCACCTCGTAGAGCTTGAAGGGAAAATAATTACGGATTTATAGCTGATTTATGAAAGCCAACTTCCTTTCTAACTTCAATCGTTTGCTGGTTAGTCTATGCACATCTATTCTTCCATATTCTCCCATATTCTTCCATATTCTTCCATATTCTTCCATGTATCCACCAAAAAACAACAAAGCAACATACACTTCGAGGGTTTCCCTAGTTTTTTCCTTGGGGAGAAATAGGGTTTGAAGCGGAAGAATCAAGTTGTTTGACCGGTTGGGGGATCACTTAGAACCAAAGGATTGGGATCACTCAGAACCACCGGATCACTTAGAACCAAGGAGCATCACTTAGAACAACACGAATAGGATCAGCAGAACCACCAGTCCAGATGTTGATGGTTGAGGCTGCTACAACCAGCATGGTGGAATGAGACCTTTAGGGTAACACTTGGGGACACGGGGCTGGGACATCGGGTGGGTTTAGGGGACAAGTGGGGTGGGTTTAGGGGACCAGCATGGTGGAATGAGACCTTTAGCGTAACACTTGGGGATACGGGGCTGGGACATGGGGTCGGTTTAGGGGGCGAGTGGGGGATGGTGCTGCGGCATGGGGTGGGTTTAGGGGACCAGCATGGGCTGGGACATGGGGTGGGTTTAGGGGGCGAGTGGGGAATGGGGCTGGGACATGGGGTGGGTTTAGGGGACCAGCATGGTGGAATGAGACCTTTGTAACACTTGGGGACACGGGGCTGGGACATGGGATGGGTTTAGGGGACCAGCATGGTGGAATGAGAATTTGGGGTAACACTACGGGGCTGGGGCATGGGGTGGGTTTAGGGGACAAGTGGGGACACGGGGCTGGGACATGGGGTGGGTTTAGGGGACCAGCAGGGTCGAATGAGACCTTTAGGGTAATACTTGGGGCCACGGGACTGGGACATGGGGTGGGTTTAGGGGACAAGTGGGGACAAGTGGGGACATGGGGCTGGGACATGGGGTGGGCAAATCATTCTGGACCTTTTTATTCTGAGGCAACTCATCCATCAGACAAATTCATGCTATTTCTTGGAGAATACCTGCTGATTTAAATTATTCAAAATATGCTGGTAACACGCGCCGAAAATATGTATTCTCAAGTGCATCCTTGTTTTTATATGTATGCACGTATATAATATAATATAAATATATATATATATATATTATATTTGAGGTGAGGTAGGTGCCTCAGTTGTACACGCGAAAACCCGACTCGGCTGTACACGCGAGAAAGCAACTCGTTTGTTCACGTGGATGCTGATGCTTATGATGGTGCTGACGGTGATGATGATGATGATGATGGTGATGATGATCATGATGATGATGATGATGATGATGATGCTGATGATGATGATGATGATGGTGCTGCTGCTGCTGATGATGATGGTGATGATGATGATGATGATGATGATGATGGTGATGATGATGATGATGATGATGATGATGAGGATGACGATGACGACGACGACGACGACGATGATGATTCCAGGACGGTTCTAAGCGATCCAAATCCCGTGGTTCCAAGCGACCCCGCGACCGTTTGACCAATACAATGGAAATTGACCCCAAGAAACAATAATCAATAATGTTCATCTAACATGGCAAGTCACCAATCAACACCTGCTAGGAATAAAGGAAAAACAAAACCGTTCCCATTCCTATCATGACGGGCCAACAAAAAGCAGGAACTCCAAATCAACAAATAAACCACATCAATACGGTTTCTCAGCGAGTGTGCATTAGCAGTGTGTTAAACCAAACAACTTCACACACGTTTCACGCATTCATACATACAGAAGCACTTGTAAAAACTATCTTTGGAATGTCAATCGAAATTGGATCTGGCTTATTATTGTCAGAAAAATGTGTATATATATATATATCATTCACTTTATATCTATATATTGAGAGTTAATAATGAAAGGATAATTTAGTATCATTAGGTTTCTTCTTTGATTAACAATGCTTCAAAATAATGATAACCAGTTCTTTATTCACTCATTCTGTTCGATGTCACCATGGTCAAGCTGCCGAATGCTGCCGATCTCTTCCCTCAAGGCGGCCTTCGGAGGAGCTGCGCTGAGTTCACCATCAAAATCTCAGGGCTTCACATGGCATCACCAGCCCAAATGATGGAAAACAGCATTTTGTTCCCTAAATCTGGCAAAGCAAATGGCCTCTCTTGGTCTCTCTCTCAATTCTCTGTGGATCAAATCAGCAAGGATGGTGAGTTAACCAACAATGGTGATGTTTCATGGGCGTATAAAACGTATAGATTGCTTGGAGGATCATCCAAAAACTCGATGATGGGTTAGGATCAGCATAAATAAATCACCCATTGAATTATCTATCTAGCTAGCTATCTATCTACCTATCTCTCTAGCTATCAATATCTATATCTATCTCTATATATCATCTATTTATCTATCTAATCTAATCTAATCTATATTTATATATAATATATATAATCTAATCTAATCTGTATATATATATATATATGCATACATACATATCGATAACCCATAACATGGGGACTTTCACTCACCAGGGTTACTAACCAGCTACTTTCTCCGTGGCATGATCCTCTGTTGCGTGACGTTGCACCATTGAAGGGGAGATATGTCCACGATGATAATGATGGCACTATGATGCATTATGAATGGATATGATCACCCTGGCCATGCCAGAAGTTAGGAAATATAATCCCTTATCGCTATATATATATCCCTTCCCTATGACCTATGAACGTATGTAAACATGCCATGGCCGTTTACCCACGCAAATCAAGCGGAACTGCACACCCGAAAAGAAGTAACAAATCATGTGTGGGAAGTGGTCCCCAAGCTTTCCCATAAAGAGGGCAAAAACAATTTGAAATGGATATCTAACCACTGCACCAGCAGTAAAGTCGACGATGGAAACAGAAAAAGTTTGCCAGATTTCCAATATCTGAATCTTGTGGATGTCTTATTGCAGTTATCGAGGGGCCAAACAGCAGCTGCATATTTGACACAAAACCTGGAACATGAAGGAAAACAACAATGACACTGATATCATAATTGTTTAGATATGCGTTACAACAATGAAACTGATATGATCATAATTGAAAGCCACACATAAAAAAGTGGGAAGACGTTCGGAACAACGACGGCAGGCTTTGGAGGAAAACAACGCTGGCAAACCAACTGGTAAACCGACATGAATGATCGAATATGAGGTAAACTTGGGTACGGTATACACACAAACAACAAACATGGAACTCCACCGGCAGTTTGCCAGTGTTTCTGGGTGGTTGACATTGGTCCAAGATTTCGCTGAAACTCCAAGACTCCCCCACAATGGTACTTTCCTTCAATCTTCGGACCACCAGTCAACTTTCTGGCAAGTTACCCTCTGCTAATTTAACATAGCTATTGAAAATAATTATAGCCCTTTTATAGTTGATTATCCGATTAAAAATGGTGATTTTCCATAGCTATGTTAGGTTACCAGAGGGTATAACAGCATCATGTAGCACATCACAGCCATTGTCACGTGACATTGTCACCACTCTTCAGTCTTCAGGGACGATACCGCCGCACCTCACGCGCACGAAGCGAGGCATCTCCACTTTCTTTCACTTGTTGCAGCTGCTTCTCCACCTGGAATGGGGGCCGGCACGGCTGAAGATCTGCGTAAAAATGCCATGTTTTTTGTTAATATGTTGGGGACTCAACCCAAATGAGAATTAAGGCAGCCGGGCTTTTTCAAGGGGGCTTATTAGCAATCTATTATTGCAGGGTCACCTTTGGGCTGAACAAAAAGACATTGGCAGTTGATGCAGGTATCAACAACCAAGATACTGTACATGCCATGAATGGTGGATCAATGGGAAAGCAGGAAATCCATACACTGGCACCCCGCACCAGGAGGCTTGGTGGAATTGGACAACTGCTGAGTCAAAAAAAAATGGAGGACTGCTAAAGCAGCAGAATCTTGCGAGGTGGAATTGGGAATTGAGGGCATCGCTTCTTAGCATCTGCTAATCCGAAGCGAGCCTTTTTCGTGGTGGGAATGACTGACATGTCCCTGAACAATCTTTAACATATATATACTGTACTTCCCTAAATACCTTGATGTGGTAAACCCAATGGCATAAACCACCCCCAAGTCATCACTATGTTTATGGGTATAAAATATCCCCAGTCATGGTAGGTTGATGGCATTGGTTTTCCCACTGGTTAATCTTCAGTAGGATATGTGAATTAGCTTACTATAGATAGTTACCCTGCAAATGATTCGGTTTTTAGCTGAACATTACATTCAATCTTCATCAATATGGGGCGAAACAAAAAGTATTGGCAAACTACACATCCGAGCATGACAGCATGACCCAATTTACTACAATTTATCAATGGATTAGTTGCAGGAACATTCTAGAGCAAAGCGAGGTTGTTATTCTTTCATGACATGTGTGTGTGGTTTTTCTGTAAAGGTTTTCCCTTGAATATCCTTGAGCCAACTCTGGGAGCTTAAATCAATAGTTGAGGTGGCTAACTTGAATTCATGTTGTTCTTATTCTGTTCTCTGTGGTTCCCACATTTCTGCCGGCTATAGAAATCTCAGGTGCTTCTTTGCTGAATCCCCGCCGTTTTGATGGTTGCACCAGTTATCCCCAAAAATCACCATATGGAATCCATATTTATGGCCATGATAAATAGGAATATCATCTTCCAAACATAATTTGTGGGTTTCGGTGTTGCATTGCGTGGGTAGAATCCAGCTGTCGAAGTGAACCATCAATTGCCTTTTGCCGGAGATCTTCCAGCGACACTTTGCTGGCCATACTGCTGCCTCGGATGAAAAATCAGGGCCGAAGGCGGCCGATCTCCTAAAACCAGTGGGTGACACCCATGACACCATGACACCCAGATGGCCCTTTTTTCCTGGGGAAAAAACTCAGTGGATTCAAACACTTCACAACTGTGACTTTAGTTTCTTCCGGAAACTTGAAGTCACAGTTCTTCCCGAAACCAATCCAGTTCGCTTTTTTACCCGCCCCAAAGATAAATTTGAATCAACGAGTCGAATTAGTATATATATATAATTCTATATATAATACAATAGCAAGTATGGGACATAATCTTCGTAAAACATAATCATCGAACAAGGATCAGGGACAAAATGCGTTTAAGATCACCCTTCGTGGATGCGGGGGTTTTCTGAAACCGGCATTTCTCAAGGAGGTCCCAAAATTTGATGCGGATCCATGCGCTTTTCAGGGAACCGAACACGGGATGGCCATCTGCGGTGACATGGGGTCTGATTTATATACCCATCATTTTTTTCTGTTGTCTTAAGATTCTTAAGCCGCTTGCATTTCTGAAACCTGATGGATCATAGCGGGATATTCATTGATATTCCCTGCAGGGAATCGTGAATATTCCATGTCTGACATATTATGACAAGATGACCAGGAAAATATTATACTCGTTGGTGGTTTCAACCCTCTGACAAATATTAGTCAGTTGGGATTATTCTTCCCAATATATGGAAAAATAAAAAATGTTCCAAACCACCAACCAGCTATAGTATGTCCCTGATCATCTTGCGATAATGGGATATGCACCGTAGGAGGCACCCTAGTCATGCCACTCGTTACCTGGGATGCAGGTCCGGATGTCGATTCTATCGCGTCACCGAAGGAATCTTGCACGGTCGCGATCTTTGCGGCGAGATTATCCGCCATTTTCAGCTGACCCTGGCGTAAATCATCCCGAGTAGGGCATGTAGCCCATAGAAAGCCACAAATTGATACAAGTTGGGGATAATGCGGCTATGTTCTGTGCTAGGGAAACTCTCTTTGGAAGCTCCTGAGAGCTCCCAACTTACTTATTGCGGAGATGGACGACTATAACTCGGCTCCCTCCTAGCCACTGCACAGTATTTGTCTCCTAAAATTGCGCTTTCATGCAATTCAGGCTCCCAACACCCCAAATACAAGGAGGCAAAATGGGTTTGTTGCCGAGGCAAACTACTACCAGAATCGACCGTCAAATGAAGAGGTGGTAACTGTACGTGTATGTGCAAGTCAATCCGCACGTTGCAATGGGCCCATGGTAGGCCGGTGCAAAGCTGTTTTCTATGGCTCGAATCTATAAGGTGAGGCCCTCTAGTTAGCTACGTAAGTTCACTTATAACTTGGTCAACTAGGGTTTTTAGGAGGATATACTGTACCCTCTGGATCCCTCTGGTAATTTAACAGTTTGCTATTGAACATGGCCATAGGAATAGTTGATATATCTATGAAAAGTGGAGGATTTTATGATTTTCCATCGTTTTTTCTATGTTTACCAGAGGGTGTCCCTGGGGCTAGGCAGCCGCTGGATCTCCTCAGACATTCCCATGATCTGTTCCGAAAGGTGCTGCGAGACCGTATCCAAACCTTGGTCTCCGAAGGTCACCAAGTAGGGATCAGGGGCTGGTGCTGGAGATGTTTCTGGGAGCGAAGATGATGTTGTTGTTGGGCTTCATCCTCCCCTAAAAATGGATCAACGTATAGACTTAATTATTGTAAGTAGTTGGCAGCTACAGTTCACCAACAGAATTGTCCGCATTTCGGAGCAGCTCGACTTGTCAAAAGCCTGTGGGCAAGGCCGTAGCATATGATATGTTCAGGGGTGTGGTCAAAAGTCTAAAGGATTTTCCCCCAAACAACTACTCCATCAATCTGGCTACATAACCACATTAGGTTTTGAGTTCAAAACGATCAAAATGTTCCATTGTTTGGTTTGAATCCACATTTTTCTGGGTTAAATTGGATTTGCTCAAGGGATCAAAGAATGAAAGCATATTCCATGCCATTCCATGCCTATACCTGTTCCATGCTGGCTGTTCCATGAAAAACCCATCGCTCCACAAAAATCATCTACAATCATCATCTTCCATAGGATCCTACATCTTCCAGTGCTAAAATCATTTTTTCACTGTCTCTCTCATCATTTTTCGAGAAAGGGAAACCATGAAAAACCTCCATTTTTCCAGTGATCTCAGGCATGTTCCTATCATTTTCCATTCATTTTCTCCATTTTCCAGTGATTTTTCCATCATTTCCCAGCACACAGCGGAACCATCCTAGCGGCAGCTCCCAAGGCGTTGCAGCTCCGCCTCGCTACTGCGACTGCGCATGGAGACCTGGCGTGGTGGTTGAGCCCCTCTGAAAAATAGGAAAGTCAAATGGGATTATTTTTCCCAATATATGGAAAAATAAAAGCCATGTTCCAAACCACCAAACAGAATATAATATAGTTAATACATACATACACACACACATATAAACATGTTTTTCATTTTTATTTTTAAATACTATATCTATGTAAGCCATGTATGCCTGAGCTACTATGGGTATTACTGTGATGCAGCCTGAAGTAGTTGTCACTAGTTGTCGGTGTTTTTTTAAAACCCATGTAGGCATATATTGTAATCATATCTAATTATCTAATTACAATAAACTAATGTCAACCTCGGATTAATAAACCATTGTTTATTAATTAGGGGGGTACTCCTCCAATAGTCATTTCATCTGATACTTAAATGGTACCCTCTCAATTCAACAGCCGTTTGGCGTTTACCAGCTTGGCTAATGGGGGCACGGAGACGCTACTGGGCCGCATGGCCAATCTCAGCCCATGCAGCAAACAAGACTTGGACGGAGGACAGGTAGCTAAGTTGGCTTGTAAATGTGTATATGACTGTTGGTTTTATGGTGTTTTTTTAAATTATCAAAACAAGACTTAGATGGGTAATAAAAATGTAATAAAATGTAATAACGTGATATAAAATGTAATAAAATGATATAAAATGATATAAAATGCAATAAAATGTAATAAAATGTAATAAAATGAAATAACATGTAATAAAATGTAATAACATGTAATAAAATGTAATAACATGATATAAAATATAATAAAATTATATAAAATGATATAAAATGCAATAAAATGTAATAAAATGTAATAAAATGTAATAAAATGTTAATAAAATGTAATAAAATGTAATAAAATGAAATAAAATGTAATAAAATGTAATAACATGATATAAAATGTAATAAAATGATATAAAATGCAATAAAATGTAATAAAATGTTAATAAAATGTTAATAAAATGTAATAAAATGTAATAACATGATATAACATGTAATAAAATGTTATAAAATGTTAATAAAATGTAATAAAATGCAATAAAATGTAATAAAATGTAATAACATGTTAATAAAATGTTAATAAAATGTTAATAAAATGTTAATAAAATGTAATAAAATGTAATAAAATGCAATAAAATGTAATAACATGTAATAAAATGTAATAAAATGATATAAAATGTAATAAAATGCAATAAAATGATATAAAATGATATAAAATGATATAAAATGTAATAAAATGATATAAAATGATATAAAATGATATAAAATGCAATAAAATGTAATAAAATGTAATAAAATGTAATAACATGATATAAAATGTAATAAATGATATAAAATGATATAAAATGCAATAAAATGATATAGAATGTAATAAAATGTGAATAAAATGTAATAAGATGATATAAAATGATATAAAATGCAATAACATGTAATAAAATGTAATAAAATGTAATAAAATGTAATAACATGATATAAAATGTAATAAAATGATATAAAATGATATAAAATGCAATAAAAATAAAATGTAATAAAATGTCAATAAAATGTTAATAAAATGTAATAACATGATATAAAATGATATAAAATGCAATAACATGTAATGAAATGTAATAAAATGTAATAAAATGTAATAGAATGGGCTAGCGCCCGGGTGCCGCCGACCCCCCTATTGGGGGTGGTCTGGTAGAGAGAGAGAGAGAGAGAGAGATCATTGCGCTTAGAATTGTGATGGTCGCCGACATGTGCTGCAGTCCTCATGCTCAAAGTTGACCCGACATCTCTGGGTTGCTATGCCCCCTCCCTGCTTGACATGCTTTCGCAGGCGTGGAACCAGTATGTGGTTTCATCCCCTTCACCGTGGTTTCGTTGAAGGATGTTTAAGGCGAAGGGATGATATTGGTTGAAAACCATAATTTTCAATGGTATACATCCCATGAAATACCGTCACATACCAATAAACCCCATGAAATCCCATTAAAATCCATTAAATATTATAACACATCTGACATATCTCCTTTCGACGACAACGCCCCGAAAGTCCGATGGAAATTGGCCAAGCCATGATTGAAATCAACGAGCACCTGGGGCTGTGCATTGGGCGGGGCGAGAGCCTGGATTCTGCCAGTGTGTTTGCAACTTCGAAGTCGCAAAACACATCTGAACGAACTCTGTTTGGTTGATCTATGTTGATCTGTTGGCCAAGTTGCGAGTTGCGATGTTTCTGCGGGTTCCCTTTGTTTTGGCAAGCATGGTTGCTTTCACTGGAAGCTGAGCTCTTGGGAAGCTGTGGAACCTCATCGATTCTAGATCATATGTATAGCGATTCTGTGGGGTTGCCGCGACGCACATTTCTTCGTTTAAATGATTAGATGAAGTTTAAGATATTCAGTGTATCGCATCCACAGCATCCACAGCAGGCTCCTATCCTGTTTCTGGACATGTGCAGTGCTCACCTGGACTCCATTGATAATGGTGATATGGAGGGCTTGCCTCATTCAGGAAACATCACTCTGAAATCCAATAGACATCTCAAGAAGCTGGGTAGCTGTTATTTTTTTTTAGATTTGAAACTTACCCTTTTTGGGCTCCCGTTTCTTTTTCTTTTTTCCAAAGGTTGAGCCTTGGCGTTTTGATGGGACTTGAAACAACGGCTTCTTACCATGGAAAACTATGCAGAGTTTCGATTTTGTGGGGTCTATAAAACCGGCAATATTGATGGATAATATAGTATTTATTCAGTAACCCCACTTGTAAATGCCTTATGTCTGGGGTAAACAACTGGGTTGTAGCCTTGTCTAAAAAGGCTTGCGTGCATCCCCGTGTGCGCACTGGGTACGTAAATCCTAGGCGCACCAGCCTCGACGACATGATGGATGTCTTACACTCGTCAAATGAGTTTGATTCTTGGTGCACTTGGCGGAACCCATATGTTCTTTTTGTCCCATGAAATGGGAATCCTGGGGACTTTGTTGAAAAACCCGTAGGAATCTTCCCAACAAAACCCGGATCTTTTTTTTAAGTGCAACCAGCATCAAGTGGCCTTTTGCTGCTCAACAGTGTTGGGATATTGTTTGATGGATTGTGACTGGGCCGTTGAGAATTGTGACTTTTTGGAAATGGCCGATGTCAAGGGCAAAATCATCAAAGTCAATGGTCTATTTATGGTTATATTTGGAGGTTGCCTGAAATAGGGGTACCCCTGTTCATCATCCATTTTTATAGGATTTTCCAAGAAATAAACTATCCATTTGCGGTACCACCATGACTATGGAAACCCCATGGATCCTTAAATCACCCAAATCACTGGCTTTTGTCACGTCTGTTTTGGCCGTTTCGAAACGAAACGGTGGATGTAGGGGAATGATACCCCCTGGTCATTTCCTACAGTTTGCGAACTGGAAGCCATGACCGATTCAGTGATAAAAATGATGATTTACCGTTCTCGAAGCGATTTTCCACAGCTATGTTAAGTAACCAGAGGGTACATATGGAGGTTTCCTAAGTCATGGAGCTACCCCCGCAGGCATCGTTCAGTCGTCATGGATGACCATGACTTGGGATTGAAACCAAAAAGGTGATGACTGGGGATCCCACATGACGTAAGAACCCCCCATATGACTGGTTATGTATATATATTGGGTGTAGCCTAACCTCTGTAACAGTCGGAAAATGGATTTTCTATGAAAACCTCTTCAAAAGGAGCACAAGGAATTTCATGCACTTTTTCGATTATTTTTTCGTGCAAAAATCGTGCTCTCAATCGTGCTGTTTTGGTGCTCCCCTCCGTGCAAAAATCGTGCTCTAAATCGTGCTGTTTTGGTGCTCCCCTCCGTGCAAAAATCGTGCTCTAAATCGTGCTGTTTTGGTGCTCCCCTCCGTGCAAAAATCGTGCTCTAGATCGTGCTCTTTGGTGCTCCCCTCCGTGCAAAAATCGTGCTCTAGCTTGTGAAAGCTGTTACAGACAATGGGCCAGACACAATATATATATTTCTCCGTAGTGATGATTATTCCCCATGATAATCCCATTTAATCCTATGACATGTCCCATTATGACTGCATATGGAGGTTTGAGAACTGGGTACCCCCAGTTCTCATTCATTTTTCATCGGATTTTCCATAAAAATAGCTCTTGTGGATCCCCTTATGGAACCCCTATGACTGGGAGTGGTGGAACCGCCGTTGAGGACATGCTGATCAGCACGACACTCATGCCATCGCAATGCTGGACACTCTTGGAATCGTCCAAGAGGCGTGCGTGCGCGGCCTCCACATAGCCTCTGATATCATAAGGACAATTTTCAAGATTATATTAAATTAAAGGACTATTTCCAATATCAATATCAAGATAATATGAATATCAATTTGAGATATCCATGATATCAATTTTATATAAATTATAATGGGCTAGCGCCCTGATTCAATAAAAGAGGGTCCACCATGCCCTCCAAGTGTGACAGTTGTTACTCTGCGGCGTTCCAAGACTTCCATGGTTTTTGTGGAGTACTTTTTGGGCTCAATCACCGGTATTTCCACCTGCTGTCCCACTCTGATGGCCGCGGCACGTTTTCGCATTGGTGGCTCCAGTCCCAAGGCGAAGGCTTCGGCTACCAGTGCTTCGACAGGAGCAACAGAGCTTTCGATTGCAGAGATCATGACTGGCAACATGCCCTTACGTCCCGTCAGCTGCCGTGGCCGCATTCATGCGATCTACGGAGTCCAGCAGCGGTGGCCTGTGACTAAGTCTCTTGGTGCAGGTGAAGTGGGCAGAAGTTTGGGTATGGTTTTGCAATCAAAGGCAAAAAGTTAGCTTGACGAAAAATTGATCTTGGTTGGGGCCACATGTCAGGCTGGTTCTTTCAGATTGTCCTCGCGATGGTTCTGACAGTGTTCAAGCCATCCTGGTGAAGCTGAATGCCAATCCCAAGGTTGAGCTGGCCCTTGACATGATGATCATAGTGGTCAATGCAGAATGCAGGCCCTTGTGGCGTGGCACTGCCAGTGGCCAAATCCCCGAGGATAACTTGGGCCTTGACCTTGGCGATCGAGAGCTGTCATGCAACCTGCCTACAGGAGGCAAACGCAAACAGGGCATTGAGTAACCTGGCAGAATGCAGGGGCGTTAGCTGGAATTGAGGAAGAGACTAGCTGCGGAGATAGAAATGTTGCGGTTTTCCTTCCAAGGCCCTTGTAAAGCATGCTGCAGGGGCCTTTATGTTGCAGGTGCTTCCAAGATTGAGAAATTGAAGTACTGATATTTTGCTTTGAAAGCCGATGCACACTGAGGAGCACCATCCGTGTGTTGGAAGATGACCAGCGATTTCCGACGGCCACTTTTGATCTCTTGAACTCCATCCCAGTGCTTCCTGAAGATCTGGATGGGCAGCATATGGCGAACGTACAGGTGAAAGTGTTGGAGATTGGGGAGCTTGCAGGTGGTGAGCGTCCGAAGAAGATCATCCGAGTCTGCAATGCCGCTGCTGCAGAGGAGGAGAGCCCGAGTGGCTTGGTGTTGGCTTCAGGTTGGGTTTTATAGTGACCTGCAAGGGTTTCAGGGGGGCTATGATAGGTTTGAGATAGGACTGAAGCCATGCGAAGTCAGAATAAGAAATGGTTCCAGTGAAAATTGCTTGGCAGAGCAGTGTGAAGCCGAGGCACCTACGACGTTTCCCTCTATGACAGCTATGCCACCTTGGCAAGCATCACCACTGATGCGACGCTAGCCATCCTTGGTCTCCAGGTGCAGAAGCAGGGGTACGCCGTGTACGCGGCTTCGTCCATGATTGTTCGATGCTAGATCATCTCGTTGCTGTCGCTGTGCAATTCCCCTGTGCTTGGCTCCAGCAAGCTTGTGGAGAACGCCGAGAGGGGCTGAAGAGTGGCCCTGAAGGCTGAAGCAGTTGGGCGTTGCATGGCCTGGCGGTGGAGGTTTTTTTTTACCGGGGACGTGTCCGGCCCAAGGTAAACGGTGTCAGAGTTTGCCATCAGTGTTGGGGAATGCCGCAAAGCTTGTGTTGAAGGTTACCTGTGTGATGTGCAGAGGCCTTGGTTGCCGGATGCTTTGTTCCCTGGCGGCTTTTGCCGTGTTGCGTCAAGACTTGCCATGGCCTGTCAGAGTCTGTTAATGCGTAGGCAGACTTGCTAGCATGTGGGCCTGTAATTGTTACTGAAAGACCTTAGAAAGTGACACAGTGGCTGGAGTGACGCAGCATGGGCGCAGGTTGCCGTGACAGACTTGAGTCGAATGCAAAAGAAGTCGGCGCTCCGATGTGTTGCTGAACACATTTGGGGGGCATGACAGGTTAAGCAGAGGGGCTGCAGGGATGTCATGTTTGGAAGTGCGAGTGAAAACCTTTTGGTGCATTGACAAGTGGTCATCATGTTTGAGGAGGATCTAGGTCATGACAAAGTCCTGGTTGAAATATTGGGTTAGGGGTTGTCTTGTTTTTCCATCGGCGTGCAATGATATTGAATGCTTTGGTTTCCGGAAACAGTGGTAAATTTGCTACTAAAATGGCTCCAACTTGAAACAGAAAAGGGTTGGAAGTAAACAAGTCTGGGGTGGAAATCTGCAGTAGATCCCTGCACCTGCTGAATCCAGAAGGGATCCACTACATTTCATCCAGGGGATCTGTCAGAGAGTTCCGACGTGAGTTGATATTCAGTGTATTTCTTTAATGTCTGCAGTCCATTTTTTTGCGGCAAATTGCCACCATCAGAAGTGTGCTCTTGGAGCTGCATGGCGTCCAAGCTGATTCATGATGGTTCAGGTAATGTTTGGACTTGTCGATGGTCGTCATGGGGTAGGAATTTTTTGGACGTCTTTGTGTCATGATTGAGCTGTGTACTGGTCTTTTCAAGTGTTGTTGGTGGTTCATGCGTAGGTTCATATAGGTTCATGATTCATGCCGGTTGTGGATTGGCACGGTTTGCTGTGTATTCTGTGGGTTTAACTGGTTGTGGTCTCAGGTGTTGGTTCTCAGGGCACGATTCAGGCCAGATCCCCTATCCATTGCCATGGCTGTGCTTCTGTTGACCAAAGCCATCGAGGGCCATGATGTTGCAGAATGGTGGGCATCTCACGATTATGAGAAGGTGAAGCTCTTCATTTCCAAGGCGGCTGTGGGGGAAGGGAATTGATGTTTTTTGTTGTTTTGACTTTTGTACAGCACACAAACACACACAATGTGTGTGTGTATGCATCATTAATGTCAGGTTTGGAAGGACTGGGCATGTCTTGACTATGTTTTTCATGCAGTGGGTTGGCATTTGTTGCTTGTAATCGGCTTGAAGGAGCTGGGTTTCAACATCGACATGGAACTTAAAGACGATGGCTGCCACCTGAACATCAAGGAGAACGTTGCTGAGGTGCGTACTGCCTTGGTGCGCTACTTCGATGTCAAGGAGGTGTGGTTGTGGTGTTGGTTGGAGGATGTGGCAGATTTGGACAACAAGAATATGTCAAGTAGATTGACATGTGCGGGTGGTCCAGTGGCGGTCATATTTGGGAGCATGGGTTTGTGCCAGGTTGGACAGCCTGTTGTGCAGCAGCAGGCCCAGGCGGATGCAGGGGACGGACCTGTCCAGAGAAGCTTCATGATCGAGTTCCACTCGAAGCAACACTTTGCTCAGCGTAGTGACCTGCTCACCCTGCTCAAAGCCCTTGCGTGGCTAGCCTGCATGGGCTTTCTTTTTGATGGGTTGGTGGGTAGGAGCATGGTCAGCAAGGGTAAGAAATGGATCAAATTGTGGCAGATTTTGATTTGTGGAGTAATGTCGTGAGGGTCAGATCAATAGGGCTCAGGTGTCTCATTTGCTGGGGCATGGCCAGCACCATATTTTGCCAAGATGTTGGTGAGGCCTACTTTGTACTTCAAGATGGCTATCCCGTTGCGGAACGGTTTCCGTGCTCGAGTTGATGCTGACTGTCCATCTTTGGCCAGTTGGCAGGCTTTCACGAAAGCGATGGAACCGCTGGGACTGCTTCGTGCGGTGGATGCCGTGGATTTGGCGAATGCCGAGACTGTGCTTTGGTAAAAGTGTTGGACAGGTGTGCGGGGCGTGACATGGAATTGCTTGAGTTAGGAGTAAGCAGTAGTCAATGCACAAAATGATGGGTTGGGGGCAAGCTGGCCAGATGTTCCAAGCTGAGGCGAAGGCTCACAAGGCAAAGGCATTGGGGAGTGTGAAACGATGCGCTGACACAGCCCATTTATTGGCTTCTTTGATGCCTGCTGGTGGTCGAGCTTCCCGAATGAGGCGGACTGTTTCCCATCTGTCGGAAATCACTCTATACGGTGGCTTGGATTGAGGTTTAGTAGGGGGGGATGTCACGTTGTGATGGTGGCAGAAGGAGAAGTTTGCTGTAACTGTAGGCAGCAGTCGAAAGCATGGCTGGGATGGGGATGGGGTGGTTGGTTGTGTGAGGTGCACGTGCCGAAGCCTCCAGTGTTCGCAGTTGTCGCAACTCTGTGGACGAAGGCCTGGTTGAGGAGGACAACATGCCTGACACTGCCATGGAGATGTGAGCATGTTGCCGCATGCTCTGGACGTCTTTTTTTCCTGGAGCAGCAATCCATAGGATGGTGGCATTTGAAATCATCTGTGGCTTGCCTTTTTTTCTCTCCTCATTTTGCTTTGAAGCATCGCTGCAATTGAAGCGGTGGTTTCGTTGTTGCCTGGCCGGTCATGGCAATTGATACTATGAGTGGCTTGTTGTGGTTGTCCCCATCTTCTTTTGAAGGCTGTGCGGCAGATTGAAAATGTGGATGTTCGGTGCCGTGGCGGGCTGTGGTGAAGCAAACTGGCCATATAGGATGGTGGCAATGGCGATCATCTGTGGCTTGTTTTGTTTTCCTGTGATGTGTTTCAGCCATCAGGGCAGCGCGAAGAATATTTTTTCCATTGCCAGTGGAGTGGCTGTGCTCGACGTCCTAAATCCTGGAGTGCGTGTTGGGTGGTTGGGAAAAAGTGGTTGAAGCTGTTCAATTTCAGCCGTACTAGCTTTGTCTTGCACTCTGTCTAGGTTATTTTTATTTAGAAGAAAGGTCACATTTGGTTTAGTTGTATGGCTGTTTGTGCTGCTCTTCCGTATCCCTGAGCTGAATGGAGGTTTCAGGCTTGGAAAATCATTGATAAATAGTCCATTATCCAGCAAACCATGTTTGGTGATACCAGAGGGTCATGAATGGAAAAATAACAACTTGAAGGGAATCGAACTGTATCTTGCCAACATTTCTGTGAAATCTTTGAAGTCGAATCAGCTTTGAATTGGAAAATGGTCAAGCCACATCATCTAAATGTAGGATTTGATTGCCTTCACAGTGGGAGGTGAGAAACGTGCTGGACTGGTGCAATGCTTTGAGGAGGTGGTTGGTTTGGCTGGTCATGTTTGAAAAAACGTTGAGATCCTTGGTGTTGCATGAAAGTCGTGAAAACAAGGATCCAACTGAAAATTACTTTCTGGTAAACGCACATAACCATGGAGAATCACCATTTTCACTGGGAAAAAATCACTATAAGTGTCCATTTTCCACAGCCATATCTATGGTATATTAAATTGCCGCAGGTAGGTCTCTTTTGCAGCAGTTTCTGGAATTTCAGATCCAACAATGCAACTTATCACATTGCTAGTCCCAATGAGAGGTATACTCTGCCTGGACAATGCAAAATTTCCATTGTTGGGTTTTCACCTGTCTTCATTGACACAGATTTTTTCTTGTCTATATAGGTCCTTAGGACTTTTAAATCTAATTTAAATCCTATCGAATCCCTATTGATAGGTTTTTTGATAATATCCATGGAGTCTCCTCTGGTAATCTTGACATAGCCATTGAAAATGACCATAAAAATAGTGAGTGTCCCCATTTAGAATGGTGATTTTCTATAGTTATGTTAGATTACCAGATGGTAATATCAATGGAGTATCCGACATTTTGGGATGGCTACCCCTGTTGAGTTGGCCTCGGCGAAAGTTCCCAGGCGGTACTTGGAGATGGCGGACACAGACCGCTGTTGGTTGCGGGGAGAACTGAACAGGTTGAGGCATGGTTTCGGCCAGGGCCTGCAGGGCCGGTCACGGGAGGGTTGTGGCCGGGGCTAACGCACCCCATATATATGTATACATGTTTATATAAAGATATATAGATTCTATAGATATATAGATTTAGCCTGAGTTGCGGGAGTTATAGCCCTTTGCCAGAAAGAAATGGTTATACATGGGGTTATCATTCCATTTTATGGGGTGGCTTACTGACTTATAACTGGCAAAGGGCCATACCTGCAGTAATAGTAATTACAGGACCCATGTTTCTGGCGGTTAAATGTTTTAAGTGGCTTAGTTGAGCCCATGCAAGTGATATAGAACCTGAGTTGCAGGAGCTAGAATGCCATTAATAACTGTTAGGTCCTATAACTGTACTACTAGTAGTAATTACTGAACCCATGTTTTTGGAAATAGTTTTTTTCTTGTGAGAATATGATTTACTATAATATAATATCATATCATATCATCCACACACACATGACGCAGGGCACCTGCGCCAATCTCTACTGGTGCTGCACAGTCTCTAGCCGTGGTGAGGACGATGGATCCCCGTCCGTGCAGAGTCTCCGTGTCAGGTGTCCTTCGTGGCCCATGGTGGCCTCGAAGTTTCATGGAGAAAACTAGTGGTGAAGCCTAGTGTAATCTAATCTGGTTGGTGGTTTGGAACATGGCTGGATTGTTTTCCATATATTGAGAATGTCATCATCCCAACTGACTTTCATATTTTTCAGGGGGGTTAAAACCACCAGCCAGCAATGTGCTTCATGTTGAATGAAATTTCAAAGTTCTTCATGAATGGTGAAACGAATGAAACCAATGAAACCAAAAATCTAGAGATGAAAACGAGTGGTTTCCCTAAATGAGCAGTGGCTGCGATCCACCACTGTTGGTTGATGATTAGTTGGGGGATTATACTACCCAATATATAGGGGATTATATATAATAATCCAATAGGGGAATCCCGTCCTTAACCAACCAGTGTAATGGTTTGGGCCCAAAATGCCAGTTATAAGATGTTATAAGTACGTATAGCTCCAACAAACCCCTATTTATATATAATGTATAATCCTATGTTTAAGCGTTCATAACTAATAAATGGCCATAACTGGGTGGCCTCAAAATCATTCAAAGTTATTCATGGTTAATGGCAAAACCAATAACCAAGACATGAAAACTAGTGGTTTTACCGTGCCAAACTATGTTGGAAAAAAACAACTGGGGTTGTGACTCCAACCTGGTTTATTGGAGATGAACATGATGGTATGGGTCGTGATATAGCTATATCGGGCGAACTGTACTGACCTCACCGAAATGTCACCAGAAATGATGCTTAGTAAGAGGAGCCACCACGGAATCACCTTATTTCAGTTTGGTGGATGATTCAAATTCAGCAAGACAAAACAAAGATTCCTGAACCTTTTTTTGGTTGAACAACGAAGTGTCCAAGGTTTGCTTACCACGTGATTTTGCCCTCTTCAGCGCTCATTGATCTTTTAATTCTCATTTTTCATCTTTAGGGGCCAAACAGCACATTCCTTTTCCACCCATGTGTTTTTTTGTGCCTTGAGTCAGTTATCATCAGTTATGACATTGATTTTCAACATGTTTGCTGAAGATGTTATATGATTACTTGTTGTTGTTGTTGTTGCTGTTGTCGTTGTCGTTGTTGTTGTCGTCGTTGTTGTTATTGTTGCTGTTGTTGTTGTTGCTGCTGCTGCTGCTGTTGGTGTTGTTGTTGTTGTTGTTGCTGTTGTCGTTGTCGTTGTTGTTGTCGTCGTTGTTGTTGTTGCTGTTGTTGTTGTTGTTGCTGTTGTTGCTGCTGCTGCTGCTGTTGGTGTTGTCGTTGTTGTTGTTGTTGTTGTGGTTGTTGTTGCCTCGTTTTGAGGCTAAATGGATGGCAACACCATGATTATAAGGCAAGATCGGCTGCAACTTTCTTGCGAAAGCGGGCTCCAATTTTAGGTCAAAAGAAGGTTACGATTTGGGGGCAACGGCAGAAACAATGTATATACCTGTGCATACGTTTGTATTGTATGCGCACTTAAATTTGGAGCTATGTTGGTATGTATGTATGTACATATTTAAGAGATGCACGAATGTTTCAGCAAAGACAAGGACATGCTTGTACATGTGTGTTGGTTTCGATTGATTCTGCTGAAGATGATGATGATGATGTTGATGACGGTGGTGGATTCATGATGTTCATGATGACGATGGTGATGTTGATGCTGATCATGATGATCTTCCAGATAATGCTGATCATGAAGTGATGCTGCTGCTGATGATGCTGATAAAGATGTTGTTAATGATGATCATGATGATGATGATTATGATGATGATGATGGCATTGGCAGTGGCAATGCGAAGGTGGAACCCAGACAACTGAAGAACAACATTCCATTCAGTTCCCAATTTTAGCACTAGCTGGCCCAATTTGACGATGACAGGTGCTAAGTGTTTTTAAGATAAGTGGCAGTATGTCCTGGATATGCCTCTTGTATCCCAGTAATTTCTTCAAGTTATACCCATAGTGTTTGGAAAGGGAGTTAAAGCCCCTATGAATTTTCGTCGTGGTATCGTGTTTGCCTCGTTTTGAGGCTAAATGGATGGCAACACCATGATTATAAGGCAAGATCGGCTGCAACTTTCTTGCGAAAGCGGGCTCCAATTTTAGGTCAAAAGAAGGTTACGATTTGGGGGCAACGGCAGAAACAATGTATATACGTGTGCATACGTTTGTATTGTATGCGCACTTAAATTTGGAGCTATGTTGGTATGTATGTATGTACATATTTAAGAGATGCACGAATATTTCAGCAAAGACAAGGACATGCTTGTGCATGTGTGTTGGTTTCGATTGATGCTGCTGATGATAATGATGATGTTGATGACGGTGGTGGATTCATGATGTTCATGATGACGATGGTGATGTTGATGCTGATCACGATGATCTTCCAGATAATGCTGATCATGAAGTGATGCTGCTGCTGATGCTGCTGATAAAGATGTTGTTAATGATGATCATGATGATGATTATGATGATGATGATGATGGCATTGGCAGTGGCAATGCGAAGGTGGAACCCAGAGAACTGAAGAACAACATTGCATTCAGTTCCCAATTTTAGCACTAGCTGGCCCAATTTGACGATGACAGGTGCTAAGTGTTTTTAAGATAAGTGGGTGGCAAAACCATGATTACAGGATAACATCGGCTGTAACTTTCTCGCGAAAGCGGGCTCCAATTTTAGGTCAAAAGAAGGTTCCGATTTGGGGCAATGGTGGAACCAAAGTATATACCTGTGCATGCATTTGTAGTGTATGCGCCCGTACACGTAAAGCTGTGCCGATATGTATGTATGTACATATTAATGAGATACATGTTTGTTTCAGTAAGAAGGACGTTACATGTCTGTACAAGGACTGTTACACGTGGGTTTCGATCTTCACGAGGACAACGACGGTGACAGCGATGATGCTGCTGAAGATGATGATGGTGATGATGACGATGATGATGATGATGATGATTATGATGATGAGGATGAGGATGATGAGGATGATGATGATGATGACGACGACGATGATGATGACGATGATGATCATGATGGTGATGATGATGATGGTGATGATGATGATGACGACGATGATGATGATGACGATGATGATCATGATGGTGATGATGATGATGGTGATGATGATGATGATGACGGTGATGATGATGATGGCGATGATGATGATGATGATGACGATGAAGGTGATTTTGCTGAAGATGATGATGATGAGGATGATGATGATGATGATGTCGATGATGATGGTGATGATCATGGTAATGATGATGATCATGATGATGATGGTGGTAAATGGTGGTGATGATGATGATGTTGATGATGATGATTATATTGATGATAAATGGTAATGGTGATGATGATGACAATGAAGGCGATTTTGCTGAAGATGATGATGATGATGACGATGATGATGATGTTGATGATGATGGTGATGATCATGGTAATGACGATGATCATGATGATGAGTTTGATGATAAATGGTGGTGATGATGATGATGTTGATGATGATGATGACGATATTGATGATAAATTGTGATGATGATGATGATGATGCTGATGATGATGATTATGATGAATGTGATGCTGTTGGTGATGATAATGGTATTAGCAGTGGCAATGGGAACGTCGAGGCCAGGGAACTGAAGAACAACAGTCCAGTCAGTTCGCAGTGATCTTAAGCTAAATTGATGGCAACACCATGATTATAAGACAAGATCGGCTACAACTTTCTCGCGAAAGCGGGCTCCAATTTTAGGTCAAAAGAAGGTTACGGTTGAACAACGAAGTGTCCAAGGTTTGCTTACCACGTGATTTTGCCCTCTTCAGCGCTCATTGATCTTTTAATTCTCATTTTGCATCTTTAGGGGCCAAACAGCACATTCCTTTTCCACCCATGTGTTTTTTTGTGCCTTGAGTCAGTTATCATCAGTTATGACATTGATTTTCAACATGTTTGCTGAAGATGTTATTTGATTACTTGTTGTTGTTGTTGTTGTTGCTGTTGTCGTTGTCGTTGTTGTTGTCGTCGTTGTTGTTATTGTTGCTGTTGTTGTTGTTGTTGCTGCTGCTGTTGGTGTTGTTGTTGTTGTTGCTGTTGTCGTTGTCGTTGTTGTTGTCGTCGTTGTTGTTGTTGCGATTGTTGTTGTTGTTGTTGCTGCTGCTGCTGCTGTTGTCGTTGTTGTTGTTGTTGTTGCCTCGTTTTGAGGCTAAATGGATGGCAACACCATGATTATAAGGCAAGATCGGCTGCAACTTTCTTGCGAAAGCGGGCTCCAATTTTAGGTCAAAAGAAGGTTACGATTTGGGGGCAACGGCAGAACCAATGTATATACCTGTGCATACATTTGTATTGTATGCGCACTTAAATTTGGAGCTATGTTGGTATGTATGTATGTACATATTTAAGAGATGCACGAATGTTTCAGCAAAGACAAGGACATGCTTGTACATGTGTGTTGGTTTCGATTGATTCTGCTGAAGATGATGATGATGTTGATGACGGTGGTGGATTCATGATGTTCATGATGACGATGGTGATGTTGATGCTGATCATGATGATCTTCCAGATAATGCTGATCATGAAGTGATGCTGCTGCTGATGATGCTGATAAAGATGTTGTTGATGATGATCATGATGATGATGATTATGATGATGATGATGATGGCATTGGCAGTGGCAATGCGAAGGTGGAACCCAGACAACTGAAGAACAACATTCCATTCAGTTCCCAATTTTAGCACTAGCTGGCCCAATTTGACGATGACAGGTGCTAAGTGTTTTTAAGATAAGTGGCAGTATGTCCTGGATATGCCTCTTGTATCCCAGTAATTTCTTCAAGTTATACCCATAGTGTTTGGAAAGGGAGTTAAAGCCCCTATGAATTTTCGTCGTGGTATCGTGCTTGCCTCGTTTTGAGGCTAAATGGATGGCAACACCATGATTATAAGACAAGATCGGCTACAACTTTCTCGCGAAAGCGGGCTCCAATTTTAGGTCATAAGAAGGTTACGATTTGGGGGCAACGGCAGAACCAATGTATATACCTGTGCATACATTTGTATTGTATGCGCACTTAAATTTGGAGCTATGTTGGTATGTATGTATGTACATATTTAAGAGATGCACGAATATTTCAGCAAAGACAAGGACATGCTTGTGCATGTGTGTTGGTTTCGATTGATGCTGCTGAAGATGATGATGCTGATATTGATGACGGTGGTGGATTCATGATGTTCATGATGACGATGGTGATGTTGATGCTGATCACGATGATCTTCCAGATGATGCTGATCATGAAGTGATGCTGCTGCTGATGATGCTGATAAAGATGTTGTTAATGATGATCATGATGATGATGATTATGATGATGATGGCATTGGCAGTGGCAATGCGAAGGTGGAACCCAGAGAACTGAAGAACAACATTGCATTCAGTTCCTAATTTTAGCACTAGCTGGCCCAATTTGACGATGACAGGTGCTAAGTGTTTTTAAGATAAGTGGGTGGCAAAACCATGATTACAGGATAACATCGGCTGTAACTTTCTCGCGAAAGCGGGCTCCAATTTTAGGTCAAAAGAAGGTTCCGATTTGGGGCAATGGTGGAACCAAAGTATATACCTGTGCATGCATTTGTAGTGTATGCGCCCGTACACGTAAAGCTGTGCCGATATGTATGTATGTACATATTAATGAGATACATGTTTGTTTCAGTAAGAAGGACGTTACATGTCTGTACAAGGACTGTTACACGTGGGTTTCGATCTTCACGAGGACAACGACGGTGACAGCGATGATGCTGCTGATGCTGATGATGATTATGATGATGAGGATGATGATGATGATGAGGATGATGATGATGATGACGATGATGGTGATGATGATGACGATGATGATGATGACGATGATGATCATGATGGTGATGATGATGGTGGTGATGATGATGATGATGACGGTGATGATGATGATGATGACGATGATGATGATGATGGTGACGATGAAGGTGATTTTGCTGAAGATGACGATGATGATGATGATGATGATGATGATGTCGATGATGATGGTGATGATCATGGTAATGATGATGATCATGATGATGATGATGATGTTGATGATAAATGGTGGTGATGATGATGATGTTGATGATGATGATTATATTGATGATAAATGGTGATGGTGATGATGATGACAATGAAGGCGATTTTGCTGAAGATGATGATGATGATGATGATGACGATGATGATGATGTTGATGCTGATGATGATGATCATGGTAAGGACGATGGTCATGATGATGAGTTTGATGATAAATGGTGGTGATGATGATGATGTTGATGATGATGATGACGATATTGATGATAAATGGTGATGATGATGATGATGATGATGATGAATGTGATGCTGTTGGTGATGATAATGGTATTAGCAGTGGCAATGGGAACGTCGAGGCCAGGGAACTGAAGAACAACAGTCCAGTCAGTTCGCAGTGATCTTAGGCCAAATTGATGGCAACACCATGATTATAAGACAAGATCGGCTACAACTTTCTCGCGAAAGCGGGCTCCAATTTTAGGTCAAAAGAAGGTTACGATTTGGGGGCAACGGTGGATCCAAAGTATATACGTGTGCATACATTTATAGTGTATGTGCGCGTATACTTAAAGCCATTCTGATATGTATGTATGTACATAGTGATGAGATCTAGTTTGTTCAACAAAGACAGCGAGACATGTTTGTACATTGTGTTGGTTCTGTTGTTTTATGTCGTGAGCATATCTCGGCTCGCGCTATAGGTTTGTATCCAGACCATGGCTGTGTACATTGTGGTAGGACACAACGCTGTCGTGAAACAGGAACTTAATAGATGCATTCAAAGATTTGTACCGCTCATCACATTTTATACTTCGGTAGTCCTCCTGACCCGACATCGTTATGTTTCATTTCGGTAGGGCTAAACGTTGATGTCCTTACGTAGCAATGCCGCACGTGCTGCTGTGAGAAACAAAATCCGTGTGGAAAAGCAGGCTTTGAAGAAGAAAGAACTATTGCAACTCTTGAGGAAGGCCAAGGTGAAGCAAGACTTGGCTCATCGGAGGTTGAAGGTGTTTGGTGTGACCAGCAACTTGCTAGCACAGCACAAAGCGGCAATTCGTGCACAGCGTTCGCGTTTACCTGCTTCCCGGAGCAAGTAATTTGCCGGCAGGTGTTTTTTTTGTCGAGCGGATCTGGGTTTGGGAAAGAAGGTGCTTTGGCGGTTGTATAGTTGTGGGAAGTTGGTGCTTGGCTTGCCAAGGTCGCGCATAACCAAGGGTTGGGTGGACACTTTCTACCAATCAGCGACTTTGCGCTTGCGCATGGCATGGAACGCTTCTGTGGGCCTTCCGCGACAACATGGTGTGTCCGACTTGCCGTTCGGCTATTTTTTTTTCCTCTAATGCTTGCTTTTCCTTCCGTATATGTATCATTTTTCTTTGGTTTTGTCTCTGAGGTCGCAGAAAATTGGCGCTTCCCAGGATCTAGTGGAGAAACTACAATGCAAGAAGTTTTGCAATGTGTTTCGGGAATTGGATCGGTGTAGCCGGTGGGTGTACCGATGGCGCAATTTGTCTGAGTCCTGCCTGTTCCTGAACATCTACTTGCTTCGATTTGTTGCTGTGACTGATGTGCCTTGCTGGGAGGGGGGGTATGTTTTTTTTGTTGTTGGTTCGCTTCTCCTGGGGAATGCTTTCGTGATGTTATGTTGAATGCTAGGTACGATTTCGCAAGTTGCTTTCGTTCTACGGCAATGGCCGTCAACACTTTTGGTACGACCGCGTCAGCAGCAACAAACTGGAAGCTGCAATCCGGAAGCTTTGTGTCACGCAGACTATGCCGTCCGCGTACAGGTGGGGTGTATAGTGTGCAGTAGGTTGTTGCTGCGACGGGTCTTTTGTTTCATGTCCTGTTTCTTCATGGTGCCAGGTCCTGGGGTCGGGGTGTGACGCGTGCGCAGACTGCAACGATGGCTGTCAAGAATTTGCGGCAGGTCATGCAGAAGGCGGGTTTGTTGCGCGAAAAAGAATTGCCTGCCCATGTCGCAGTGGGTCATGCAGGCGCAGTGCCCCCATTCTTTCTATGCGTGGTTGGATTCGCACGCGATGAAGTTCGCTGCCTATCAGGTGTGGGCATTCTTTGTTGGTTCGGGGTTTAAGCTTGAAGTGTTGAGGTTTCTATGTTGTCTGGCAGGGTATGGGAACGGGTCAGGTCAATTGTGATCTGCTTTCCCTGGGGATGAGATCCGTTGACGACGTCAAAGTGCACATCGGCAGCGGATGCTCCCTTCATGGACGTCCATTAACACGCACTGAATTACGGAGACTTGGTGGCTGTTCTTGTGACCTCGTCTTTTTTTTTTGGTTGACTTCAATGTATACATGGGCAGTGGATGTTCCCTGCACGGACGGCCATTGATGCGCAATGACGTACCGAAGCTCAGCTTTGCTTGTGTTCGCCTGGTTGTTTTCTGGTTCCGGGCCCATGCTGCTTTATTAAGGTATATTCACAGTTCCGCAAGGCGACGTTGGTATTTTGCCGAGGAACTCTTACGTTGCCGGGTGAAGTTACAGCGATGGAATATCCATTGTTGTGAGTTTTGGGCTTGCGAAACGCGGAAGATGCTGGAAAATGGAAGTTGCTTGGTTCAATTTGAGGTCTTGTCTCCTCACTCCGGCTGCGTCTTGCTTGGTTGAGTTCTTGTCCCTTCACTTCAGCCTTTTTTCTTAGGTATGTCTTCTTACATTCCCACCTCGGCTACCACTGTGAGCAAGGCGGAACAGGCAGAACTACGAGGGATTTTTAATTTGTTGCTTTAGGTCGAACTGCGCTGACTGCTGCCATACCGGTAGATCTGTTTTTTCTTTCCGGGTATCCGTTGTTGGATACTGTTTTGGTCCAGGGTTGGGTGTAGTTGTTTAAAAAGTGAGCAGCTGGGTGTTTTAAGTTTCATTCTTGTTTTGTTATGCAGACACGTGTGCCATTTGTGCCATTTGTGTTTCGGTTTCGTACGGTGGGGCAGCACGGTACGAGTTAGTATTGGTTCAGACTGTGCAGTGGATTCAAATTAGCTATGTGGTGTCAATGTTTCACCTTGAGTACGCTTTGTCGAAGCCCAACGTGAAAAAAAACACTCTGATCCGATGGCCAAAGACGAGGAAAACGAACTGCTTGTGTTGTAAGGTGAAAAGTTGTTATGTGAGGGTCGTTGGATTCTACCTTGAGACCACGGTTCCTTCCCTTGCCTTCCTGCGCCTTTACATCCAGATCGCAGTTAGCAATCCACACTTCTATTACTACTTCTTCCTCTTCTCCCACTACTACTACTACTACTGCTACTACTACTACTGCTACTGCTACTGCTACTGCTACTGCTACTGTTACCGCTACCGCTACCGCTACCGCTACTGCTACTGCTACTGCTACTGCTACTGCTACTGCTACTGCTACTGCTCCTGCTCCTGCTACTGCTACTGCTACTGCTACTGCTACTCCTACTGCTACTGGTACTGCTACTGCTACTACTAATACTAATACTAATACTAATACTAATACTAGTACTACTACCATGAATGCTACTACTACTACTACAACTACTACCACCACCAGCAGCACCACCACCACCACTCCTACTACCACTCCTACTGTACTACATTGCCAACGCATATGCCAGATATGATAGTGCCGGATATACCGGAGAGAAAGAGAGAGTGCAACTAAATATATGAGATAGATTCCAGACGATGTGCTAAACATATGGCAAATGGAATGGCATTGCTTGCATAAGAGGATGAACAGGTCTGCAAAAGATAAGAACAAAGCAGAAGAGAGGTTGTGGGTTCAGTGTGATCTCTTTCTTGGGAGATGTATTACATGTAACATATCGTATTCTTTATATATATTGTAAATAAATACATACATGTTTATAGATATAATAAGTGTACGCACACCACTGAGAGAATGAAACAGTTACGGCTATGCACATTGAGTATGAGATCGATTTTGTCTTTGCAGGTATGACCCAGACGAGGTGCAGTTAATTGAGCCAGATTTACCTGGCTAGTTTTTGGTGGGTTTTTTGAACAATTCAGTGTCAGTCACATGCTTGGAGAAACAAACAGAAAACGTATGGACAGGTATGGTTCATATCAAGATACAGTGCCACATTTTATAGAGTTACGTACAAAGCACCTAAACAATTCCAGCCATGCATAGCTACACAGGTTATATGCAGTTATATCCATATATGGCCAGGATCCACAACCTGCGGTCCATTTTTGGGGCCCTGATTCCCATCAGATACATAGATGGGTGACAGCATGAAATGACCTATGATGCATGTTTTTTTCTTGGCTTATGGTGGTGCTATGACGGTAAAAAATGTTTTTTGTGATGGTTCCTGATGGTTTAGCATGCTTTGCCTTAGCTTCCTGATGTTGCATAATGTGTTATGGTTTTTATGACAGGATTGCCGAACTTTGGTTGCTTTTCAAGGCTTTTGTTTCTTATGATGAGCTCTAGGGGTTTAAAGATGGGGTATGATGGGCTAGGACAATTCAATATCATTTATGCTAGCTTGGTCTCCATCTCAGCCCTCTTCACAGCTACTGGTTAGGAGAAATTGATGTGTGCAGTTGCTGCCACTGGCTATGAGCATGTCATGGTGAGTGTGGCTTGGGACTGGGCGATTGCAAGAAAACCATAGAAACCAACCTGGAAGAAGATTCGAAACGAGGCAGAACTGCTGAAACTACGGTGTCGAACAGCAAGGAGTTGATAATGGGTTGAGTTAGCCTCTATGGATTCCGGCCAAAAAAATGGAGTATATAGTCAATATTGGGGGATGGGATGGATGACCATAAAGCATATATCACATTCTTGGTTACATAAAGATTAAGTAACATTATATTCCATTATGCTACAATGTGAGGCCCCCCGGTGATGTTTGTTGGTTTAGAAGCCCCAGTAACTATAGTTATAAGTACAATAATCCATAGTTATTGGACTTATTGGCACCAACTTAGTTATCGTGGGGTCGTCGCATTGTATGTTTTGTTGTTTAAGTCGTGTAAAATCCTTCATTCATCCCATGGATTGACGTGTTGCGAAGAAACCATGGATCACTGCATAAGATCTACACGGGTCGGGCAGCAAACATGTTTTTTTCACGGATCCCTCAATTGAATTATAAGATGTTGAACCATGTCTGAGTTGAGGCCCATCAGTTAACAATTATGGTACTGACATTAGTAATGACTAACAAAAAGCTATTGAAAATGGCTATTGAAATAGTGGATTTACCTATAAAAAATTGTGGATCTTTCCATTGCTTTTTGTATGTTTACCAGAAGGTATAGCCATTTATGGTACATGCTGCACGTCGCAAGTTCCTTCAACGCTCCCAAGGTTTACTGGGGTACGTGTGGAGGAAAGTTTGCCCACACGCCCACGGGCCAGGTGCCTTAATGGGGAACTTGGGAACAGCTGATGGGTGGCTTCAAAGATCCAAGCAACATGGGATGTTTGAATCCCAAGAACCACTATTACAATAGAATATCCCAATCATATATAATATGTTTCTTGGTGAATATCCCATGAATTTGTTTAAGGTGATTGTAATGTTTTTTTTTCCAACGGAAGATCCATTATTTGGAAAATATATCGGGAATATTTTTTTTGGGGGAGACCCCTTAAGCACATCTAAGAAACACAACAAGCAACGGAATATCCCATGATTGGATCTGCTCAACATTAGTATAGAATTTTTCCGTGGATGGATCATAGCCACACACTTTGATGTTTGAGTGTTTTGGGGGTTTGATGGATGGATCCCGAGACTGAAGTGCGATATGATCGGCATAGTTTGATGGGGCATGAAACCGCTCAGGATAGATATAACCCCAATTGTACAGGAAAAATTATGATATGCATATGTGTGTGTACATATATGTGTATGTTTGAATATCTATATATATATATATATATATATATCATATATATATGTGTGTTCATATGCATTCCCAAGAACAATGGGCTTATTCCAGATGTATGGATGGACCGGTTCTATAGTGATGGGATAGGCAAAAGGAGGGCTAACAATCAGGTGAGATACTATAGGCATATCCTATTGAATGCATGGTTTCTGACATGTGTTACCACCGGTGGCAGGAATGGCAGGGGGGCGAGCTCCACAGAATTGCGTACCCCTTATGGGGCTGCAAGTGGGATGACGAAGGGCGACGAAGTGGGTCCGTGGGTGTTGTTGTTTTATTGTTGTTGTATGCATGGAGGCTTTGATATGGTGTCATGTGGTTTAATTGGGGTGGTATGGGATAATAGTGGGATAGCCATGGATATACACCCTGGTTATGATTAACATAGGTATTGAAAATTGGCCACTCAAACAGTGAGTTTTCCAAGTAAAGATGGTGATTTTCCATAGTTATATTACAATGACCAGAGGGTATTCTACGACATTAACCATACTATATATTTAATGTCGGTTTTTACCCTGGTCTGATATTTCCATATTGATATATCTATATAATATCACACATACCCTATGGTACGTACCCACTGGTAAGCCTACAAACTACTATGGAACATCACCATGTTGAATGGATAATACGAAAATAAATGGCCATTTTCAATGGCTATGTTAAATTACCGAAAGGGATCACTATGGATCCATGGCGACTGTCTCAAAGGTACAGCAAACCCTGTAGTCATTCTAGGAACTTATGCCCCAAAGACTTCTTTTCAGAAGGTACCTGAATGGTTGGCATATTTTTTTTAATGAATATATATATATATATATACATATGTATATGTATATGGTGGTGATTTGAAATAGGGATACCCTGACATTGACCCCTATTCTTTATGTTAAACCTATGATTAGTAGGATAATGACAACAAAACGGACCATGGGCCCATGACATTGCATTGAAAGTGGTCTTCCAGCAAAATGCTTGAAATCTTGGCAGAAGACTTCTGTGAAGCGGGTGCACCAGAGGCCGTCAGCCTTATTTTGTTTGCAGGTTGCGACCTGGGGTTTCCC